GTCACCCTAGTTTTATACGTCACCATTTTTTTTTAATTTTTGGACGTATATTTATGTATATTTATAAAATATTCCATTACGGTAAATTAGCCAGCACAATTACCTACAATTTAAAAACAAAAATATTTTCATCGTTTAGATCCTAAGCTAGTTAACATTTTGCGCCTATTAGCCATACTCGTACATTATTCAACATATCAACATGAAACAAAAACATACGTGTGGGGTAAACCTTTAACTTTAAGTAAACAATTGTTTAAATTTACTGTTGCATTTTTCTAATACTATACAAGCGCCGAAGGGCGGAGCTCGCGCTCGAAAATGAAAAGTTAAAGGTTTACCCTTTTGTCTATGGTTTACCCCACACGTACGATTTTGTTTTATGTTGATATATATCAACATAAAATGAATAATGTCTACGGCTAACAGGCGCAAAATGTTAAGTAGCTTAGGATCTAAACGATGAAAATTATTTTTTTTTGATTGTAGGTAATTGTGTTGGTTAATCTACCGCGATGGAATATTTTATAAATATACATATATATTTTTCTAAAAATTAAAAAAACGGTGACGTATAAAACTAGGGTGACGTATAAAACCTGACCGAAGATGCAAAAATGAAGATAATTGAATTTTGCAAATTGCTTTTGGTTTCTGCATATTTACACTATGTGTGTATCAAATTTCAAGTGTCAGCAAAACTTCAAACAAATTTCTAGAACCAATAATTCCCGAATAGAACGGATAGGACGAGGAAACAATTGTCCAGAAAATTGGCCACCAAGATCACCAGATCTGAATAAATGTGATTTCTTTCTTTGGAGGGCTTTAAAAGGATTTATTTATTTTACACCGGTTGTATTTGAAGCAGATTTATGGAATCATATAAATAGTAAATGCAACGCCATAAAAAATTATCCACAGTTTTTGCTCAGAGTAGAGAAATTTATGTATTAGAGAAAATGGTGGCCATTTTCAACAGTTATTGTACCTAGTGCTATTTAACGATATCGGTAGTTCATGGGGTTAAAACAAAATAAAATCTAATTTAATGAAATTACTATTTCTTGATACTTTTTTGTAAACGTCAAAAGTGACACATGAAATCATAGCCTACTAGTCATAAAACTGCATGCTTTATTTTTTGTCCGATTCAATTAGTAATGACGTTGTTTCACAAAATTCCGATTTTCTCAAAAACAGTTAGTTTTTAAAAAAATTCGTATGAGTAAAAATATGTTTAAAATTAAATTTAATAATTGACATACTGATAAAAAAAATTATATCATTTTAAGGTCGCCCTACCCTAGTCCGACCTTTATTGGGCTTCCAACAAATTCACATTTTTACCAATTAAAGATAACAATAAACGCAAATCACGCACCAAATTTGGTAGCTCTGTGTTTAGGCTTTGCTAAAATATTATTGTTTTTCAAAATTTAACACTCATCTTCAGAGGCCAATATCTCTTTAACGGTACATCCCAGAAAAAAATGTTACATAACAAATCGGTATATTTTAAGATCCTCCACACGTGCCTGCTCTGTCGGTAAGTTACGAAACACCCTGTATATTTGAACGACGTCACGTTGCATAATCGTTTTGTCACGGGAAAATTAACAAACAAAACGCAATAGAAATTTGAAATTCAGTTTGACGAAGCGATTCCAAGAGATAAATAAATGAATTGCGATGAATCAACGATGGTAAGTACAGGTACTTAACTAATCTCTATGCTGCGTGATTCTAAACTTGTTTTTATCTTTCGAATCTTAACAATTATCGAAAGATTAATTAGGAAAAAAAAGGTGATCAATTTCCGTTTCGGCTTCAGGGTTGTTGGATTCCGAGAACGATCTGTTGCCAAACGTCGGCGAAAAAAATATTGTAAAAGCGCGTAAAATCGCAAAAAAAAATAATGTCGAAATTGTCAGTCACAGAGAAAGAACCGCAGCTGCTAATCCGCGAGATAGATACAGGGTGTACTGAGACAAATTATAACGTTTGAACCTTTGCAATGGGATGTTTTTTCTAACCTAACCGCGTCACATAATGATACTTTCCTGCAACCAAAAAAGTCAATCGGGGTCATATCGGGAGAACTAGTTGGCCATTCCATTCCCCTCTGCGTCCAATGCATTTATCAGGAAAAGTTTCATCTAGATATGCCCATACCACACGTCCAAAATGTGTAGGAGCCCCATCATGTTGAAACCAATTTGTTCTGCCGGTAAATTGGGATTGTTACTGCTCGGGAATAATCGTCTAATGTCGTAATAATCGTATAAATGTCGTTCAGAGGTCAAATTTCCGTTTATGAAATGGGGTTCTATAACGTGTCCACCAATAATGCCACACCAAACATTTACTTTCTGCAGCTGTTGGTATGAACTTTCTCCATCCAATGTATGTAATCGTAAATTATGAATTCTGAATCATCCCTGTAACGATCTTAGTTAACGTAGATGCAAATGAACTACTGCAACTTCACAGAATTTACGGTTGAACTTGACCTTTAAAAATTATTAAGAAGTTGGCTAAATAAATATCTTCTGGGTGAAGGCCAGAAGAAGAAGAAGAAGAATTAACCTTAAAAATAACTATTCATATATAAAATGTTTTTTTTTTTTTTTATATAAAAATGAGACGAGATTAAATTAAAAGTAGAATATAGGTTTTTTGTGTTTAAAAAAGTAAACCTTACTGGTAAGTGTGATGCCCATATACTTTTATATGTAGTAGTGTTCATTGAACAGTGTGAGGTAGACTGATGGTATTAAATATAATTATGGAGACTACACACTCTCTGCTCTGTGCATTCAAAAAACCAATTTATACTTACATTTAACAAAAACATATGACACAACGTGGAATAGGATTTAAGAAGTGTTTATTTCAAAATCTCTCGCTTTTCGAGTAAATACCTTTGTCAAAACTGTTGTATTTTCTCCTAACCTCACAAAAAGGGGAATGACCTAACCTCAAAAAATTATAATTACATATTTGACTGTAAAACGGCTATTAAAATGATTGTGAGATGGTCTTACTCAAAGATGATTTAACAACAAGAATAAACCATAAATTTTTAATTTCATTAATGATTTTGCTATGTAAGGTATGTGGTTTTTTGTTAGTCATATTTAGAGAGATTATTTTCTAATTCAGATAACTATTAATTACTATTTCGTCTATACCTGGATTTCTGGCATCAAACAATATTATACGACTTAATTGATAGGAATTATAATTAATTTGAATTATATTTAATACATTTTTAGCAAAGCACAAAATCCTAAAGCTAATAATAAAAAATATGTAATTAAAATAACTTGATATCTCGTATCATCGTAAAATAATAAGAAAGTAAATATAATTAAGCAGATTTTTTTTTAGTAACCATTATTCCCTGTTAAATATCGTATTTGAAAATCAAAGAAAGCTATTTCCATGACTGTGGAAGAATAACAAGCGTTCTGTTGCCGGAATGAAACTAAAATCATAACGTTTCCATTCCAGGCATATCGGGAAAGGCTGCGACAGAGACACCTACTCCGTTCAGTCACAAAGGAAGCTCTGCGGGGCCTCACCATCCGCCATCGACTTGCTGCCCAGCCCTGGAGTGGGCGCCGAATGGACAAAGCCCCTCATATCCGATGAGGGCCACGAAAGCGACCAGATGTTTGAATTCGACGGTAAGTGACTGCTTTTTAAAATTTCTTTTTACGTTTTTTAGCATTCAATTGTCTTCTGCTTGTGTGTTAAATTTGACTTCAGTTGGTTTATTGTGTTGTATGAAAGGTTTTGAACTAAAAAATGGGTGAAGGAACGGAATAGTTCTGAGAATATTCATAAAATTATGTTTACGGTGTACAAGAACAAAACTTCCATCACTTTTTGAAGTAAAATGAGGGATAATTTCGTGTGAGACACAGGTTCCTGAGTTTTTTCTATGATATTGACAGGAATAGGACTTGTTTACATCACTGGGATCCATAAAAAAAAATGTATAGTCCATACTGTACATTTCCATGGCCGTGCCGTAGTCCAAAAGGCACTGCAGTAAATTCGGTTAGCTATTGACTAGAAACGTTTTTCTTAAACATTAAAGAGGTTGAAACTGAAGTTGAAATTGTCGAATTAAAATTGTTTTTCTTGACACTCTGTAGGTGCAAGCACCGCTGTCTCGATTCCCAATTCGGTATTAGACCACAACCTGCCCAGCACTTTCACCATCGCCACATGGATGAGACACGGGCAACATCCCGGTCAAGATAAGCACCTCAAGGAGCATATCTTGTGCACCGCCGACGATCACAGTAAGTCCCTTTTTTGTATCGAATCTTATCCGTTATTAAAAGTGAAACACCAGCACCATCTATGTTGCATGAAAGAAACTATACTAATAAAAAAAAGGTATATCTAAATAAATTACATGTCGAAACCGGATGCTCGTGTAAAGTTGACCCTCCGGCCACTAATTATCCTGAAATTTTAAAAGTTCCGCCCCCTGAAAAGGTATTAATATCGCATTCTATTAGTATTAACGCCCACATCGTGCTCCGATGATCGTTACGGGTCGTTAGGGTTCCGAAATGAAATGCCACGGATTGAATGAAAAGTTCGACGTGACTTTGAAACCAGTCGGTGTGAAGGAACGTAATTATTTGTAGCGTAACGCCGACAAATGAACATTATACAGGATTTGGAATAAAAAGATTCATTTGGGATACTATAAACCTGATAAGATTTAATTTACACTACGATAATATTAAAAAAGTAATCATGAAAATTTGTTTTACATAAATTTTAATCTCATGGTCTCTTAAATCAATTGGACTTGGATCAGGACATCTAGGAGGCCGTTGAACTGAGTCCTACTGATTTGACCATACTGAATCTTTGTGATCAATTTGAAAAATGTCACTTTTAAGTACAGAGAAAAACGTTAACCGTATTTTTTGTATATATTAATACTTTTGAATAGGACTAAGAAAAAAGTGAATCAATTTGGAATCCTCTATAAAAACTTAACAAGTCTTCCACTCTCATATAAACAAATATTGAATATATTGTTGCTAAAGCTGTTCTTAGCTACAACATCGATAGGTTGGCTATTTGTGTCGATTTGTTATTTTCGCGGCCGGCGTTTTTCTTTTTAGTACCTTTTAAGTGTATTTAATTAATCTTTGAAGCAAATTGTGACGTTTTTACTCAAAAAAACCTCTAGACTTGGGGGGAAAATCCTCGAATTGGCAACGTGGTGTTGTTGTGCTCGGGCATATGCGTGTAAGCAATAAACTTCCCCGCCCGCTTAGATTCTGTGATGGTTCTGGTCAGCAAAGTAATTAAAATGGCATTTTGCGAGTATTAATAACAGAAATTGCCAAGTTGTAGCAGCAAAATTACTACAAGACTCATTTTGGTTTTGTTTTTTTTTAATTTTCAGAGATGAACAGACACCATTACGCTCTCTTCGTAAGAAACTGCCGTCTTATCTTGCTACTGAGGAGAGACTTCTCCGAGGGTGACCTCAACATCTTCAGGCCAGCCGAATGGAGATGGAAAATACCACAGGTAAAACGATACGCCGCAGAACCCACTAAAATCTGTAATTTTTTATTTTTTGACGTTAATGATCGATCTGTTTGGTGTAAATTTTAGGTCTGCGACGACCAGTGGCATCACTACGCGGTCAACGTCCGTTTCCCGGACGTCGAGCTCTACATCGACGGGCAGCTGTTCCGCACCGAAAAGAAGAATCCCGAGGTGATCGACGACTGGCCTTTACATCCCACCAAGGGCATCAACACCACCCTTACCGTCGGAGCTTGCTGGCAGGTAAAAAGAAAGTTCGCAGTTTTCCTGTCTGGGTACTAGATGGCGCCTCTTTGTATATATAGTACTAATATTCGCCACTGCATGGTGCTTATTGTTGCAAGTGGGAAATAAATCCTTCGTTTTTTGCATTTTAGGGATCTGACAACAAAATGAGGCACCACTTGAAGGGTTACTTGGCTGGTTTAAGCATTTTGGTAGGAGAAAACGAAAAACCCGAGGTATTGAGCTGCTTGCATCAGTGTAAGGAAAGTTTGCAGGTTAGTACAATATTTATTTTACGGTTTCGTTTCAAAGGCCAAAACGTATTTCCGAAAAATTTTTAGGATAAGACTTGTTCAAATTTTAAGGGACAACTTATTGTTTTGGTCCTTCGAACTGGATTTGGTAAACTTTAGTCGTTTATTCTTCAAAATTTTAAACATGTAGGTTTTCAAATTAAAGATAAATTGGCATTTTGGTTGTTCCAACTGAATTTGACAAACTCCGTGCATCTGTTTGTTCAAATTAAAAAAAAAATGGTGACAATTTGGTCCTTCTAACTTGATTTTGAAAATTTTTGTACTTTATTTTTTTTTTAATGAAACACATTTTGATTGTTTGAAATTTATTGTGTAAACTTTTCTTGAAAATTTTAAAAATGTACCATGTTTTGGTTGTTAGATCTGAATTTTGTAAGCTTTAATCTTTTATTTGATAAAAATTTTTTTAAATGTATTACTTTTTAGTCTTTCTTTGAATTTTGTTCTAAAGTTTAAATATTTATTTCTCCAAATTTTTAAAAATAATCTATTCTTAAATTAAAAATAACCTACATTTTGGTCCTTCGAACTGGATTTTGTAAACTTTAACCCTATATTTCCTCAAATTAAAAACAAATTGATAAAATTTTGATTCTTTGACCTGCATTTTGTAAACTTCAATTCTTTATTTTTCAAATAAAAAAAATGGATGATATTTTGGCCCTCTGACCTGGATTTTGTAAAACTTAATCCATTTCTTTAAATTTAAAAATAAATTACCTCATTTTGATCGTTTACACATAATTTTGTAAATTTTACCTTTTATTCTTCAAAATTAAAAAAAAATTATTGACATTTTGGTCACTTGTATTGAATTTTATAAACTTTAATCCTCTATTTTGTGAAATTTAATAAAAATGTTTCACGTTTTGGCTGTTCCAACTGAATTTTCATCTATTTCTTTAAATTAAAAATAAGTTACATTTTTGTCCTTCGAACTGGATTTGGTAAACTTTAGTCGTTTATTCTTCAAAATTTTAAACATGTAGGTTTTCAAATTAAAGATAAATTGGCATTTTGGTTGTTCCAACTGAATTTGACAAACTCCGTGTATCTGTTTGCATTTATTGTGTAAACTTTGTTCTTGAAAATTTTAAAAATGTACCATGTTTTGGTTGTTAGATCTGAATTTTGTAAGCTTTAATCTTTTATTTGATCAAAATTTTTTAAAATGCATTACTTTTTAGTCTTTCTTTGGATTTTGTTCTAAAGTTTAAATGTTTATTTCTCCAAATTTTTAAAAATAATCTATTCTTAAATTAAAAATAACCTACATTTTGGTCCTTCGAACTGGATTTTGTAAACTTTAACCCTATATTTCCTCAAATTAAAAACAAATTGATAAAATTTTGATTCTTTGACCTGCATTTTGTAAACTTCAATTCTTTATTTTTTCAAATTAAAAAAAATGGATGATATTTTGGCCCTCTGACCTGGATTTTGTAAAACTTAATCCATTTCTTTAAATTTAAAAATAAATTACCTCATTTTGATCGTTTACACATAATTTTGTAAATTTTACCTTTTATTCTTCAAAATTAAAAAAAAAATTATCACATTTTGGTCAATTATACTGAATTTTTAATAAACTTAGAAGTGTAATAAAAATGTCTCACTTTTTGGCAGCTCGAAATGAATTTCAATTTATTTCCTTAAATAAGTTACATTTTGGTCCTTCGAACTGGACTTTGTAAACTTTAACCCTTTATTTCTTCAAATTAAAAACAAAATTGATGAAATTTTGGTTCTTTGTAAACTTTAATCATTTCTTAAAATTTAGAAAAATTGCGTTTTGGTCCTTTGAACTGGATTTGGTAAACTTTAAACCTTTATTTCTCCAAATTTTAACTGATTCTTGTAAATTTAATATTTTGTTCTTTGAAATTTAAAAAAATGTAACACATTTTGGTCCTTTGGACTGGATTTTCTAAAATCTTTTATTCAAAATTCATCACATTTTGTTATGCACTGAATTTTATAAATTTTAATCCTCTATTTCTTGAAATTTAAAAAAATGTCTTACAATTCGACTGTTCGAACTGGTTTTGTAAACTTAAATCCTTTATTTCTTCAAATAAAAAAAAATGGATGATATTTTGGTCCTCTGACCTGGATTTTGGAAAATTTATCAATTTCTTTAAATTTAAAAAAAAGTTCCCACATTTTGATCGTTTGAACTTAATTTTGTAAATTTTACCTTTTATTCTTCAAAATTAAAAAAAAATTATTGACATTTTGGTCACTTGTATTGAATTTTATAAACTTTAATCCTCTATTTTGTGAAATTTAATAAAAATGTTTCATGTTTTGGCTGTTCGAACTGAATTTTCATCTATTTCTTTAAATTAAAAATAAGTTATATTTTTGTCCTTCGAACTGGATTTTGTAAATTTTAACCTTTTATTTTTTCAAATTAAAAACAAATTAATGAAATTTTGGTTCTTTGACCTGCATTTTGTAAACTTTAATCCTTCAAATTTTAAAAGGTGAATCGCGTTTTGGTCCTTTGAACTGGATTTTGTAAACCTTAAACCTTTATTTCTCCAAATTTTAACTGATTCTTGTAAATTCAATATTTTGTTCTTTGAAATTTAAAAAAATTTTGGTCCTTTGGACTGGATTTTCTAAAATCTTTTATTCATCAAAATTAAAAAAATTTATCACATTTTAGTATGCACTGAATTTTATAAACTTTAGTCCTCTATTTTTTGAAATTTAAAAATATGTCTCCCAATTTGACTGTTTGATCTGGATTTTGTAAACTTTCATCCTTTATTTCTTCAAATAAAAAAAAATTGATGATATTTTGGTCCTCTGACCTGGATTTTGTAAAATTGAATCCATTTCTTTAAATTTAAGAAAAAATTACCACATTTTGGGCCTTTTAACTTAACTTTGTAAATTTTACCTTTTATTCAAAATTTAAAAAAAAAACACATTTTGATCATTTGTACTGAATTTTTTAAACTTTAATCCTCTATTTTGTGAAATTTAATAAAAATGTCTCATGTTTTGGCTGATCGAACTGAATTATCATCTATTTCTTTAAATTAAAAATAAGTTATATTTTGGTCCTTCGAACTGGATTTTGTAAATTTTAACCTTTTAATTTTTCAAATTAAAAACAAATTAATGAAATTTTGGTTTTTTGTCCTGCATTTTGTAAACTTTAATCCTTTATTTCTCCAAATTTTAACTGAATTTTATAAATTTAATATTTTGTTTTTTGAAATTTAAAAATTTGTAACACATTTTGCTCCATTGAACTGGATTTTGTAAAATTTTATCCATTTCATTATATATAAAGAAAAATACCACATTTTGATCATTTTAACTTAATTTTATAAACTTTAATCTCTATTTTTTTTTTAATTTAAAAAAATTACTCAGATTTTGGCTGTTCACATTTTTTAAATGAATAACATTTTGGTCCTTTGAGCCGGATTTTTTTAACTATAAACCCTCCTTTCTGGCCCAGGTCCCAGCGATGGAATTGCTCCAGCCCGGCATGGAACTCCTCACCAACTCCGACCTCACCGAGGTGACCGTCGAGGGCGACAATCGCACCAACCTCGAGACCCTCGTCCGCAAGATCGGCTACGCCAACTCCCGCGAATTCCCCACCCCGGGCCGCAGGAACCTCCGCCTCACCACCACCGTCACCTGCGACAACGGCAAGCAGGTGAAGGTGCCCGACGCGCAGACCTACGTCATGGTGCTGCGACCCCAGACGCCCAGCATCATCCTGAACGGCACCGGCAACATGGCCAGGAAGTACGAGGACTTCCGGATGGGCGTCAGGGTGCTCGCCGACATCCACATCACCGGCGAGCAGAAGCTGGACAAGTGCCAGTTGACGATCTACCCGAACCTCAACCCCGACCACGAGAACCTGAGCGTGCCCGAGGAGATGCTGAAACGACTCGGTAATGACTCCTAACTTAAATTTTTTAAATGTCCGGCATTTGAACTACTTAGAAGTAGTGTCAATGTGGTTTGAGCTACTTATAAGTAGCTCGAACCTCTTTTGAACCATTTAAAAGTAGTTCTCAAGTCATTTGAAGCACTTGAAGTTATAAACAATTGTGTTACCTAGTAGTAGTTCAAATGTACCGACTGACGGACCGTGAAATATAACAAATATGTATTTAAAAGTAGTTCAGATGTCATTTAAACTACTTATACACTGTCGTAACTTTATTTGAACCGTTGAACTGTACTATTTAAAAATAGTTCAAATGTACCGAAAACATATATTTCAAATATAATTTCAATGTATATTTTGAAGTAGTTGAAATGTCATTATAACATCTAGTAGTTCAAATTTTATTTGAACAACTGAAGGTTACTTCACTATTCTTCTCCCATTTATCTCGCTAAATAATTGAGTTACTGCCATCTTCCAATATTGAAATTAATTGATTTGAACCACTTGAAAAACATTTGTAGTACTTGAAAGTAGTTCAAATGTACCGAACGCGCGTCAAAAGTATTTATTGTCTATGGCATGATTACTTTCGAATATAACTTAAATCTGTATTTAAAAGTAGTTCAAATGTTATTTAAACTACCCAAATAGTTCAAACTTCATTTGAACCGCTTAGAAACAGTTTTAAAGTAATTCGATCTGCTGAAATAAGGGAGAACTTATTTCACTATTTTTCTCCCATTTAAGTAATCAAATAATACAGTTGCCGTCTTTCAATACTAATGGAACCTAGTCAAGTACTTCAAAATTCATCTGAGTCATTTAAAAGTATTATTAAGTTATTTGAAACATCAAAAAGTAGTTCATAAGTCATTTGAACAACTTAAGTTTGTGAACTTTGTACTATTTAAAAGTAGTTCAAATGTACCGAATGCACATAACTAGATATATTGTTCCATACAACATGATTACTTCCAAATATAACTTAAATGTATATTTAGAAGTAGTTGAAATGTCATTTAGACGATCTAGTACTTCAAATTTTATTTGAACCACTGAAAGCAGAGAGAAGTTACTTCATTCTTCTTCTAGCATTTATCTCACAAATTATTTAGTTACTTCCATCTTTCAATATTCAAATTAATTAATCATTTGAACTACTTGAAGTTATAAACATTTGTAGTACTTGAGAGTAGTTCAAATTCTGTTGAATGCACGCGCCGACAGAGATATTGTCTACGGCATGATTACCTTCGAATATAACTTAAATCAGTATTTAAAAGTAGTTCAAATGCCATATAAACCACATAAGTTGTTCAAACTTCATTTGAACTACTTAGAAATAGTTTTAAAATAATTCGATCCGCTGAGATAAGGAAGAACTTCCTTCAATGTTTTTCTCCCATTTAATTAATCAAATAATACAGTTGCTATCTTTCAATACTAATTGGACCTAGTCAAATACTTAGTTCAAATTTCATTTGAGTCATTTAAAAGTATTTGTAAGTCATTTGAAATATTTTAAAATTGTAGTTCTGAAGTCATTTGAACCACTTATACTTATAAACTTTGTACTATTTAAAAGTAGTTCAAACGTACTGAATTTGCATAACTAAAGATATACTGCCATACGACATGATTGTTTTCAAATATCACCTAAATATATATTTAGAAGTAGTTGAAATGTCATTTAGACCATCTAGTAGTTCAAATTTTATTTGAACCACTGAAAGAGAGAAGGTACTTCACTATTTATCTCGCAAAATATTTGAGTAACTATCATCTTGAAGTTAATCGGTTATTTGAACCACTTGAAGTTATATACATTTGGAGTAGTTGATAGTAGTTCAATTGTACCGAATGCGCGGATAAAAATATCTAAGGCATGATATCCTTCGATTATATAATACATGTATTTAAAACTAGTTTAAATGTCATTTAAACTACATATAAATTCTTCAAACTTCATTTGAACCGCTTAGAAATAGTTTTTATTTAGGTTAATTAAAGAATACAATACTAATTGGACCTAGTCTAGTAGTTCAAATTTCATTTGAGTAATTTAAAAGGATTTTAAAGAATTTTGAAACATTTTAAAGTAGTTCTGAAGTCATTTGAACCACTTAACCTTTACACTTTGTACTATTTAAAAGTAGTTCAAATGTACCAAATGCGTATAATCAAACGTATAGTTCCATACATGATCGCTTCCAAATATAACCTTCATATAAATTTGGAAGTAGTTGAAATGTCATTTAAACCACCTAGTAGTTTAAATTTTATTTGAACCACTATTCTACCATTTCCTTTCTACCATTAATTGATGTCTTTCTGTCTGTAAACCACTTTAAATGTAGTTCAAATAACTTATGAACCATTTAAAAGTAGTTCTAAAGTCATTTGATCTACTTAAAGTTTTAAACATCTATGCTACTTAAAGTAGTTCAAATGTACCGAACGCGCCGTAAGGAAAACATTGCCTTACGGCCTGATTACCCCCCAAATATAATGCCTACTTGACTTATATACTCCGTCTAGGTATGGCAGCTAGAGTGTCGAAGGACGGAGTGACCATCACAGGCTCCGACATGGTATACAACTACCAGCAAGTGCTCCGGCAGATCGTCTACACTAACCACAAGCCCGCTTACTACCTCAACCGGGTCTTCAAACTCACCTGCTCCGAACTCAACGGAAGGTTCACTTCCAACGAATACGTGCAAACGGTAAGCGAACTATCCAACTATCGTTACGTTTTTGGTCCTTCGAGCAGGATATATATTTATTAAGCGGTCTTGCAGCTGACGGTGATCCACCCCCAGCCGAAGGAGAGCATCGCCCACGCCACCATCAACAAGCACAGCGTGGAAATCAGACCGGCCTCGGTCGTGTCGCACGAGTACGTGCCGTCCGAGCACCTGATGGCCGCCGGAGGTTCGCACGCCGTCACCATCATCGTGGTGGTCTGCGTCGGGTTCCTGCTGTTCATGATCGTCCTGGGCGTGGTGAGGATCAGGGCGGCGCACAACAGGAGCGCCGCCGAGGAGGCGCAGGAAGGCGAGATGACCTGGGACGATTCCGCACTTACGATCACCGTCAACCCCATGGAGGTGAGTTGAGGGTGTGTCAGGGATTAGTTCATTCGCTCGTTGCATTTTCTAGAACGCCGAGAGGAAACTGGAGGGCAACACCGTGGAGTACAGCGACACGGAACAGTCGGACTCCGAGAGCTCCTCGGACGACGAGAACATGGACGGGCCGTGCCGGGTGCCCGAGTCCTCGGACGACGAGGAGGAGCAGCCGAGCCGCATCCGCAAGCACGACTATCAGAACGTCAGTCAGCTTGAGTGGGACAATTCCACCATGTAAGGTAGATCGACCGGGCGGCGTCGCTCGCCTGGGCGACGGGATGCGACGGGTGGTGCTTCACATCTAGGTTTATAAAAAGTCGTAGCTCTCCCAAATTCTTTAGTTAAACTTTACCGTAATAAAAAGGAATTGAGTACCGTAAGAATTGATTTTAGGAATTAGGGGAACTTGGTGCGTTCTGGGAATACACAAAAAAAAATAAATGCGACAAAAAAATTTGCCCTGCGATTTCTTTGCCGTTAAAAATACTGTATAAATTTTGAGCAAATCTAGACGGTTTGATCTCAAGTTATACAGTGTGATGATGATGATGACGGTGGCGATTTTCTGAACGTTTTAAACGGTTTCTAATACAGGGTGTTTCAGGAACCGTGGTCGTATTTCGTATCATTTTCCCTACGTTGATTCATTAATCGAGTTCATATTTTTTTAATGTTTTTGTTGTGGTAAGTCCATTTAAATTAAATTAAACGTGATGTTAAAAAATGCATCGCCTCTGCGTCGAAACTCGAATTTTTATAATCAAGCTCCAAAAATTAAACTCAGAATTTGCAGTTCAAACTAGATTTTATGTTCCAAATTGAGAACTGCATATTTCCAAATTAAATACCGAAATTTGATGTTTAAACTTTAAATTTCAGGTTGAATTTCGAAATTTTAAGGTACAAACTCAATATTTTGAAAATAAGTCTCGGAAGTTCGCGTTTATACTCAAAATTTCGAGTTCAAACTCACAATTTTGTGTCCCTTAATTAAAGTTCAATATTTCCAAATTAAAAATTGAAATTTCATGTTTAAACTCAAAATTTCGGGTTCAAACTCGAAATTTTAAGGTGCAAACTCCATATTTCGTAATTTAAACTTGAAACATCATGTTGAAAATCAAAATTTCGGGTCCAAACTCGATATTTCGAAAATAAACTCAAAATTTTCAGTTCAAACTCGCAATTTTGTGTCACATAGTTAAAGTGCAATAATTCCAATTTAAAAATTGATATTCCATGTTTAAACTCAAAATTTCGGTTTCAAACTCGAAATTTTAAGGTGCAAACTCAATATTTCGAAATTTAAACTCGAAAGATCATGTTTAAACTCAAAATTTCGGGTTCAAACTCGAAATTTTAAGGTGCAAACTCGATATTTCGAAAATAAAACTCAAAAGTTTATGTTTAAACTCAAAATTTTGAGTTCGAACTCACAATTTTGTGTACCAACGTTTAATATTTTCAATTTAAAAATCGAAATTTGATGTTTAAACTCTAAATTTCAGGTTGAAAATCGAAATTTTAAGGTATAAACTCGATATCTCGAAAATAAATCTCGGAAGCTCATGTTTATACTCAAAATTTCGAGTTCAAACTAACAATTTTTTGTCCCATAGTTAAAGTTCAATATTTCCAATTTAAAAATTGATATTCCATGTTTAAACTCAAAATTTCGGGTTGAAACACGAAGTTTTAGGGTGCAAACTCCATATTTCGAAATTAAAACTCGAAACATCATGTTTAAACTCAAAATTTCGAGTTCAAACCTAGATGTTGTATTTCTAAGTTAAAGTTCAATATTTCCAATATAAAAATTGTAATTCCATATTTAAATTCAAAATTTCGGGTTCAAACTCGAAATTTTAAGTTGCAAACTCAATATTTCGAAAATAAAACTCAAAAGTTCATGTTTAACTCGATATTTCGAGTTCATACTTAGAATGTTGTATTTCAAAGTTAAAGTTAAATATTTCCAATTTAAAAATCGAAATTCCACGTTTAAACTCAAAATTTCGAGTTTAAATTCAAGATTCTCTTGTGTTCCAAGTTGTAACTCAATATTTTCAATTTAAAAATTGAAATTTCGCTTTTAAATTCAAAATATTGTGTTCAAACTCTAAACTTTTTGTTTCAAAGTTGAAATCTTGTTAATCTCAATGTTTCCAATTTCAGACTCAAAATTTCATGTTTAAGCTCAAAATTTTGAGTTCAAACTCAGAAATATTGTGTTCCAAAGTCAAAATTTCTAGTTTGGTCATGAAATTTCGAGTATTAATTAACTCTTATTCGAAATTTTAATGTTAAATTCAATATTTCCAATTTCTAACTCAAAATTTCATCCTTAAATTCAAAATTTTGAGTTCAAACTCAAGAATATTGTGTTCCAAAGTCGAAATTTTAATATTAAGCTCAATATTTCCAATTTCTAACTCAAAACTCCATGTTTAAATTAAATATTTTGAGTTCAAACTCGAGAATATTGTGTGACTTTTCTTCACTGTCGTAATTTCCAATTGCTTCAAAAATTGGTATTCGACCATAAAATTTTGCAATCTTTTTCCATCTATGGCAACTTTTTTTACTTCAACGACAAAATTTTTGCCGTATTTGTATTTTTTGCATTTCACTGTCTATAAATAATGAAACCTTTTTCATGTAAAACACGGAAGATATGAAAAATCAAGCAAAAAAAAAATATTTACGACCGAAAACTAAATCGCCGCCAAACGATGATGATGATGATGCAAAAGAAAAGAATTTATGTTAAAAAGAAAAAGTATTCCTGGGACCGCGCGTAACAACCCTGTTCACAGTAACAGCCCCGCCACCCCGTCCCGTCGCGTGGGCGCCCCGACCCGTCCCGCCCCTACCGCGGTGGAACCCCGACAAGTGCAGTGCATTTAGAGATGCGGAAGTGCCATAGCGCGCACTCTCGTGTTGCGCCTGTAAAAAACCCCCGCTCGTCAGGAGACAAACGGCTTACTCGCCGACTTAACCTCCCAAATTCTACGCCTCCCCCCCACCTACCGCCTGCTCGCTTCAGCAAACCCCGTCGGGCGTTTTTTACATGCGCGGCATCCAATATCAATAAAATAATCGTCCATAATTGTTAGAGATATACGCAGTGTGCCGTGCGGGGCGAACGGGAAACGTTCCGATTTTCTCTCGATTTAAACCGCGCCGTCGAACCTTGTTGTTGTACCGGTTGCTTTCATTGGGATTTTTTTTAAGCCGCGCCGTTTCCCGAGGGAAACGCGACGTTTCACCCGCTCGTCCCGCACGCTTATACCATACACCCTCTTAGCTAGTATTGAGTATATAAATATTATATATAAAGAGCTATTTACACCCCTTTTTGCTTGGAGTTTTCGCCTAACGTTTTTGGTTGATCGGGCAGCCGTTTTACTTGTTATAATTTAATAATCGTTGCAGCTTTCCTCGTTTTTAGAGACGTCCGTTCTCCGTTACACCCTGCCAGTTGTTGAATTGTCGCTTTTCCTTAAGAGGGCCCTACAGCAAATAGGCAACCAGCAGTACGCTTTTATAGATTCTGTTGCACGGTTCGTCTAAATATGATTCAACGCGCATATAAAGGACTTTCCCCCATTCTAACGCTGATTTTCTACAAAATGGACTTAGTTTGGGACTCAAATTACTTTTTGGTGCGAAGAAATTTGTTATTTACGATTCTGAAAGGCGGCAAATTACAAATTTCTTTACAACGAAACGTAGTTTGAGTCTCAAACTAACTCCATTTTGTAGAAAACCTGCGTTAGAATGGGGGAAAGTCTGTTATTTGCGCATTGATTCGTATTTAGACAAACCGTGTAACAAAATCTACAAATATGTATTACTGGTTCCGTATTCGCTACAGAGCCCTCCTGTGTTTTCGAGTATTATTTCCGTTGGTCGGCAGCATATTTTTTTTACGCCTAAATTCGAGGCCTATCAAAGCATTGTTTGGTTCAACTTTCGGCAGAGCATCATTTTTTATACCTATATATGAGAATATGAAGCGCTTTTTTGTACTTACCTAAACTATCTAGTTGTTAAGTTTCTCCTCACTTTACGCACTTGGAATCGTCACCTCCCCCCCCTCAATAAAAAAAAAATCTCGATCATATCAATTTTTTAAATGTGCAATCGGTCTGGCTGTTTTTATTTCCACAAGTTCCTGGCGCGACGGACGAGCCTCGCCCGTGTAGATCGTAGCAAGCCTTGAAACAAATGATTTGTTTGTGTGAGTCGTAGGAGGCCTTGAAACAAATGATTTGTTTGTGAGTTGTGGGTAAGCCTTGAAACAAATGATTTGTGTGAGTTGTAGCAAGCCTTGAAACAAATGATTTGTTTGTGGGTTGTGGTAAGCCTTGAAACAAATGATTTGTGTGAGTTGTAGCAAGCCTTGAAACAAATGATTTGTTTGTGTGTCGTAGCAGGCCTTGAAACAAATGATTTGTTTGTTGAGGAGCACTTAGAGGAGGTAGCGGCGGTCCGGAGCGCCGGGAGCTGTCGATTTTTCTACAAATTTTCTACGTAGACTCGATGTTTGTCCCTCTCTCGCACAATTTTCATGTCTTTTATTTCGAATAGTGTTCTAAAGAGATGTATATACAGTTTTGCAGCTAAAATAGTATTTTTTTGTAAGTAGTTATGGGTACTTAATAAATATTGATAATATACATATAAATAAAATGGTTATTTTTTATTTCGACCGGCATCTTGGCAATATTTAAGGTAGCGTGTTGGGTAAAAAAAAGAAACTATATCATACGACGCAATATCGGTGTTATTCCTTTCATTTTGTATGGCCATTTTGTTTGTACGGTGTTGCAGTTTAGGAATTAGTAGCTGTGATGTCAAAAAGAAAAACAAAAGAATGTTTAGCTTAGTCGAAATTAAGCACTTTCTATACTTTTTGCGTTTGCGGGGGGGTCGCCGGTGTCCTCCGGGCATTTTCGCGGTTAGGTCACGGTCCCACGTTAATTGCGAGATATACAGGGTGCATTAAATACTTTCCCGATCGTTTCCCACCTGTTTTTGTACATAGACGTAGGTAGAGAGGTTTTTTAGAGGCGACTCGTGACGATTCGTCTTACCCGAATTTCGGACCTAACCGACATAAAAGAAAAATGTTTAAAGTGTATATTTGGAGTAGAGGGAAACTGATAGTAGCGACCCGGAGGACAGGCGGCGCCCCCTCGCGTCTATTTCATAAATAAATGATAACACTATTTTTGACAAGATACGTAACAAAAAAAACTGTTACATTCCAATAATGATATACTAACGGTAATTTATTTATAAAAAGTTTATATCTTACTGATAATAACGGCTTTTTTGTGTGTTTTAAAGAACCAGAATCAAATAATCCGAATGTCTTTAGGTGTTGAGAACCACAATAATTATGTAATACATAAATGTATA